GTACACAGGTAAGCTGAGGTCAAGGGATCGACCCCTGGGATCTGCATCGGCTACTGCCAAAGGTGAAAACTGTTTCAATACCTTCCCTTTTACTCTGCTTCCTGAAATAACGTGCAAGTGGGCTGTGAAGGCATACAGGGATGCAGGCAGCTGCTGTTCAACCACAATCAACGTGGGCAGCCTTGTATGTAAGAGGCACAGTAACAGGGGAGCTGCAAGAACAAATGGAAGGGGTACCCCAACGACAATCAATAAACTGTCTAATTATAGAATTGCTTTAATATGTTGGACTGTTTTGTCTCAAATGCTCTTGCTGTCTGCCATAGGACAAAGATTGCCTTGATTCTGAATCTATTCATCTGGGTGGAATTCGGGCGGTTGTGGGAAAAATCTATAACACACACACCCACACACCCACACACACACGCAGAGAGAGAGAGAGAGAGAGAGAGAGAGAGAGAGAGAGAGAGAGAGAGCACCCGTTATTTCAGTCTTCATCATGCCCTTCGTAATCCTCCTCCTCCAGCCACCATCACGGCACTTCACTATCGAGAAAGTTCAAGAAAGTTTGAAACTCAATTTATCACACCCCCAAATGTACTAAAAATAACACGCACACACACACACACACACACACACACACACACACACACACACACACACAGAGAGAGAGAGAGAGAGAGAGAGAGAGAGAGAGAGAGAGAGAGAGAGCAATGAATTTGCAGATTTTCAGCAATCTGTAACATCAATTAGGGTCGTTTTTGTAACTTTCGTATTTGCTGGGCCCTAAGTTGCACGTTGCAACCCCTACCAGCTTAGTCTCAACAGGGCTGAAATAAATGTAATTCTCCCAGGCCCCAAGTCTTTTGCAACCGCTTGGGACTGGTACCATTGTGACTTGACTGGGCAGGCCCATTCCTTGTCATAGAGTCTTAGGTCGTACGGTCCGGCAGGCTGAGAGAAGTGTAGAAATAGGATGGAGTCTCAAGTCAGCGGGGTCTTTTGGTTCTTTTTCGTTTCAGCGTGTGGGGAAACTCTGTTGGGTCGGCGGGTGAGCGCTGCTGTGCTACATGCCAACTAGCTCCGTCTTCTTCGACCAGACAGCCATAGCTGGTGGCTGAGAGTGTTCGTTGAAGGCGGCCTGAAGCCGGGCCTCAGGCGCTGTGGTGTTTCGCCATATTTGTGCTCTTTGGGATTCTGTGTTGCCATGTGTTACTCTTGCTGGCAGCTGGTTTCTCTTCATCGAATTTGGGCGTCTTCTTCGTCTGGACCGCCGGCGCTCCTCTGATTGGCCGCTATCAGACTGTGGGATGAGTGAGATTCTGATTGGTACTACTTGGTTGGGGAAGCCGCTGGCTGGATGTGAAGCAGGGGGCAGAAGAAGGCCCCCCAATAATTCGATGAATTATTGTATGCGTGTATGGGAACGCGTGAATTAGTGGTGGATTGCTCCACAACCAGTTACATAACACACACATACACACGCACAGAGAGAGAGAGAGAGAGAGAGAGAGAGAGAGAGAGAGAGAGAGAGAGAGAGAGAGAGAGAGAGACCTGGGCGGTGGATGGCCCCTTGCTTTGTGCCTCGAGAATGGTGGCTGCCTCCTTGCTCTCTGTCTTGCTGATGGGTGCTGCCCCCTTGTGCTGACAACTTGCACTGGGTGGCGATGGCACCGAGGAACACGAGGCAATGAACTGTCAGGCGGGGGGGGGCGGCAGCAGCAGTGCCTTCGAGCGGGGTGGATTCGACGTTGACCTCTGTATCGTGAGGCGCCGAAATTGAAAAGCGCCACGGCACATCTGGCCTGCGTCTGGGCCTCTCTGGTAGGACCAAACAGGTCCAACAAATTGGCGCAGTATCTTTTTTGGGGCGCCCATGGGCTACACTGTTGAATAGCAGCATTACCGTATTTACTGGACAGGTAACAACACCCTGGGAGAGTAGTAGATGAGAGTGATTTGGGGCACATTGCTGCTGTGATGCCACTGTGCATGCCGTCATGCTCATGCCAGTTGAAGCTTTCTGGAGGAGGTGAGAAACTGAGCACACAACGACCTGTGCTGTGCTGTATGGCTAACAGGTCAACATCAGTCGTATTCATGACAGGGTTTTCATGATTTTGTTGGCCTGACGCAATGCCTGTATCTTGAAATTGGCCAGCAGAGAATCAGTCAGCGTGTGCATAATCATGTCCACAAGCAAATGGTGTCTACTGGTTATGTAGGGTTGAGTTGTTCATACTAGGAAATGAGTCCTGGAATCTAAATGCTGGCGAATCTGCTGACTGCAAACAATGGCTAATCGCTCAAATTGTCTAATGGATCCAGTCTCGGCTGTGATCCGTTTGTGCGCATGCGTCCTGTGTCCCTTCCAACACCTGTTCCAGTGGGTCTTCCACTGTCGTTCAATCTGGATTCAGCAATTGGGGAAGGTTTTAAGCAAGGCCCACAAATCAAGCCCCAGCCTCCCACTTCGTCGCCAAAAGTCTTAGCATGCTCTGGGGCATTGCTATACCACCTTACCTATACTTGTCTCGTGTCTGCACCTTGAAGTTTGCTGCGTTCCTTGTTTTGTGGTCTTACATGTGTGATTTATGATTTTGAGACTTGTTGCTCTTCAGGACTCAGATTTGTAGGCAGTTCTAAGCCGGAGACTTTCTCTGGTTATGGAAGAGTTACACGTGCTGCTGAAAAGAACTGACAATTGAATACGCACCAAAAGTGCACTCAGCAGAGAATCCTCAATAAGCCTGGGTTGCCCAACGGAATTGGTCTGACATCTTCTTCTGGATGCAGCGGTCAACAGGGAAGCTGAGGAACCGGCGCGGAGGCTCTTCTGGGAGTGGAAGTGGAGGCCCTGGTGGGCCGATCATGTTTGCTGATGTTGCGGGTGTGGATGAAGCAAAGGAGGAGCTGGAGGAGATTGTGGTATGATCATATTCCCTCCATGTCGAATGCGTGTCGGTGTTTGTTGCACTTTTACTGCACTCGAGCGTATCGTTCAGTGTAGAAATCATCTGAAACTGGCTTTGAGAACCTCCTAGTGAAGTCTATCCAACTGGTTCATATATTTTCCTTGGGACTATGAAGTTAGAATCAGAGACTCACAACCAAATAAATCTAGCAAGTCCGTTGTCCTGTCAGTCCCTCCATTATCGTGCTCACATCCTGATCACTATTTTGCACTTGGACCTTTGTATATTCACTGACATGTACTAGTGGTGAAAAATCCCTCGATATGGAATGCCTCTTGGTTGTTCGTCTATGTGGAAATCATGTTGCTGGGGCAATGAACCTCGCAAGATCCAACTCACAACACAACATGGATGCAGAGAAAGTTCAGATGAAAGTTCGCACCACACTTGGAATCCAACACGTGAAGCAGCGCCGATTGGAAATCCACTCAAAATTATGATGTTATACACTTGAAGAGTCCAGGTCACCAGTGACTTCGACCGCAACAACACCAACAGGTATGTTCCCGACTTCCCCCTCTCAGTCTCACTCTCCAACTCTCTCTCACTGATGTCTCTCTTTGGCTGTGCTTTCTCCCTCTCTCTCTCTTAACTTGTGTTGCTCACTCACTCTCTCTCTCTGACCTAGATCTACCCTGAATACACTACGAGGTCACCCTGGGCTTGGGCGGCTATGCGCTTGCCCTGATCGCGTTCTTGCACAAGCGCAGCGCTTCTGCAACTTTGCGAATGAACATCTGCCTTGGCCTTGCACTGTAGCAGCTAAATATAGGTGCAGTCTCCTGTTCTTGCCTGCTTTGGACCCGTACCGGTCGCCCGCGGCCTCTGCCTGGCAAAACATCGTTGCCTCCGGAAGCGGACTTTCTTGGGATGCTGCTGCAAAAATTGGACTTGGGACTGACTTCCTCTTTTGGTATTGACAGACTTCTACCGACTTGTGACGTTTCAGTACCGCGGCCTAACGACCTACAATGCTTCGACCATACAGACCTAGGACCTATCCTAGTGGGACAACTTGGGACCGGGACCATTTGGGACAAGTCCCACCTTGGATTGGGACAATTTGGAACCCTGGAACCGGAACTCGGGGTGTCTGCAGCGTGAATCCTTTCACTCTCGCCCGCATCATTTCGAGGTCCTCCGAGAAAGTTACAAACTTTAACGGTCTACAATGGTAACGCCTCTGCGTGCCCTCTCATAAGCTGAGACTATGTATTGGGTAGTCTCTATTGGCCCGTCCCTAGTAAATCAGCGATCATCTTCCAGCAATTGGTAAGATCTAACCTTGTATTGTCGCTGGGGTCTCCCTCTGCGGCCTGTTCTGAACGTGTCCTCTGCGATGATTCTATCTGCATCATACTTCCCATTCATGTCAAGAGGAATCATAGACCTTCGCGAGGGGAACTGGTTGTTAGACGCATGGAACACAGGGTATGTGTGCAGATGTGGTGGGATCTCAACTGTGTATGGGGGTTCATCTACGTCGCCAATGACATCCAAGATCTGGCACGACCCTCTGTACGCTGGTAACTTCTCCGAGATACGTTCTTCAGGGAGGAACTCTTTGGACTTCACCCACACTAGATCCCCTACTACAAACTGCGATGGAAGTCGATGCTTATTGGCCTGTTCCACTATTTGATGCTGTGAATGGAAAATTCCCTAGTACCGGGTGGCAGTGTTGAATCTGGTTGGGATTTAGGCAATCCATCGGACGCCTAGGAAGCCAACCCTTATGCAATTCATTCGGTGTGCGCGAGGTGGCCAAATGCACACAATTATTGTATGCGCAGACCACTTCCGGGAGATAGATGCTCATCCCAATTGGTTTGGTCGAGCCTAACGTACGTACCGGAAAACTTGCTGTAGCAGTTTGTTCATCTGCTCGGTCTGGCCGTTGGTCTCCGGGTGTCCAACGTATGACATTGTCAGTCTTGACCCATAGGCCTTAATCAACTGTTGCCAGTGCTTGCCAGTGAACATAGACTCTTCACTAATTATAGTCAGAGGGTGTCCATAGTCTTTTACCCAATGGTTAAGGAACTACCTAATGACTAAGT